TCCAGTGTAAGGTAATATTAGTAAATGGCAACAGGCCCCTTTCGCAAGACTTGGAGGAAATTTTATAGTATAAGTTTTAGTTGCTTATCAAAGTCCTTACCCAAAAATAGGTCTTCCCTTCAGCCAAGGGACCGGCTCTGGGACTACTGAACTGGCTGAAGTCTGAAATTGTTTGAGTGGCTATGACTCAATCGGTGTACTACCTAAGGCATTTACTGCTTACCTGAAGTCTGGCAGTTCAAACTCACCAGCCACTCCTTGGAAGGAAGACTGGGCAATCTATTGCCTTAGAAATGCCACCTCGGAAACCCAAGGAGGGGTCGCTGTGAATTGGAATTGACTCGATGACAGTGAGTTTGGTTTTTCTGGTTTATGACTTTATTTTGGTGATTTAAGTCAAACATTTTCTTACTAAATCTACAGCTTTTCTGCTAATACAAATCAACTAAGAATTTAGTAGTTTGTCTATCTGTTTTATTCCTAGGGACACCACGATCAATTATCCAACACAAAAGATCTCCGCAAGTTGAGCCATTCTGAATAGTGTTGCAGTTCTGCAGCCTATTATACTAACCTTGCTTCCCTTGATTCTCTACTGAATTAAAAGAGTCCAGATAGAAGGCAGCATTTTTTCTTTTACTAAATTGTGATTTTGGTGAAAGTTTACAGAGCAAATTGGTTTTCCATTTAACAATCCATACACATTCTGTTTTGTGACATTTATTGAAATCCCACACTGTAACAACATTCTTTCTGCTTCCTACCTGAGCTCACCCCTTTTCTTTGTTCTTTCTTCCCATCTCCTCCCCACTTCCTAGCTCTGTTCCTGGGCAAATGCTGTCCTCTTAGTCGTATATGCTTGATTCTTCTAATGAGTGCATACCCTCCTTATATTACTGTTTACCTTTTAAGCCTGTCTATCATTTGGCTGACAGCTGAATTACAGGGTTTAAGTTCAGTTCCTAGCTTCAAGGGTGTCTAAGGGCCATTGGGGATCCCACCAGTCTTCATCAGACCAATAAACCTGGTCTTTTTTTTTTTTAAATAATTTTTAGTTTTATTCCATATTTCCCTCACTCTATCCAGGACCTCTTATTGTGATCTCTCTCAGTGAAATCAACAGTGGTAGTCAGGTACCATCTAGTTCTTCTGGTCTCAGGGTTTGATAGAGGCTGTGATTCATGTGGTCCATTAGTCCTTTAGACTAATTGTTTCTTGTGTCTCTGCTTTTCTTCACATTTCTTTGCCCCAGACGAGGAGAGACAAATGGTTGCACCTTAAATGGATGTTCAACATCTAAGCTTTTAAGACCCTAGTCGCTACTCACTAAAGTAGGTTAAAGAACATTGTCTTTGTGGAATATATTATGCCAATTGACCTCAGTGTTCCGTAGAAGTATGGTTCTGGGGAAAGGCAGCATTTTCCACTGTCATTCCTGACTTGGACAGAATAACCACTATAGAGCTCTTCAGGGATGCCAGTGCTGTGCCCACCAATGTTTTCTCAAAGACATAGTGAAGGCAATGGAGTCTCCTGGGGGACATCACTAGTAGACAGGTGAGCTGGTTTTACATAATAAATCTACTCTAATATTTTGGGCCTGTTAAGCCTTTGAAATGGATCTTTTATAGTTTAAGGAAGTTCTGATATCTCAACTTCATTCACTATAGGTCATCTTCAGTCCAGGTTTGTGCAAACAATTGAGAAAACTGTTAGAACCACTTCCAGATACTTAACACATTAAAACCTGTGTCTGTGGTAAGTTCACCCTTACATTTGTTCCAATTCAACATTATATTTTTTCTAACCTAATGACACACACTTAGGATCGATTCCCATATGTATTTTTGTGAAATGGTGGGGCTTATAGTAGCATCAGAACCTGTCTAAATTCATGAGGGGGAATGATGAGAATCAACATCAGCACAAAACTGATTCCCATGAGATGGTGGTCAGATATACCTATACTCTCAAAACTTTTTGCTAATTTCTGACACAGCTGTCTTCCATAAAGTATTCTCTAGTTCTCTGCTGGGTTCAATAGTCCATAGCAATGACCACATAGAACTAAAGACCATACTTACAGTTAAATAGTTTATTAAGTAACAGGGTTAAACTAGGGATTAGATCACAAGCTACCACTCAGGATCAGGATAAAGAACCGTGTAGGTAAAATCTCCCTTCTTTAATGCAGAACAGCTGTCTCAGCTCCTCTTGACCATATGGACCTCCTCTCAGGCTCCTAAGGACAGGTTCCTTTTGGACCCCTGAGGACAGGCTCCTCTTGGCCTTGCCCTCTGTCACCACTTACTCTGTACTGGGTCCCTTCTGGGCCTGTTGCTGCTGGCTCTGCCAGTGGGCTTCTTCTGGGCCTCTCTGTGTCTTCAGTGTTACAGTTCTTGATGACTTGTATTATAGCTCTTTTTGGAGGTTCCTTGCCTCCTCTCTCTTTCTCTCTCTCTGCTTTTTCTATCTTCTCTCTTCTTTCTTCCTGCTGCTTTTCTCCTGCTTCTTTCTGTGTCAAAAACCTCTGTGGGCTGGCTACATATATACATGACTCCTTGTAAATTTCAAGGCATGACCATTCTCAGAAGGGTTGTGGGGCACAAACTGAGCAATCCCATCTCAGTAGGTCACAGACACTGTGCATAGTAGGCTATAGTCACCTCATTTGTATGGTCCATAGTTACTTCATTTGCATAGTAGATTGACCAACTCTTGCAAGATGTATACCAATCACAGGGCAGGCTATAGTCTGTTGTTGTTATATGCTGTATTGTCTAGGACCAGAGAAAAAGTATCAAACTGTAACTTGTTTACAACTTACCCAAAAAATGTCAATCCACCTGGACAAAGGTAACAAACTTTCTGGAGTAGAAAACTAGGGTGAAGATAACTCTTCAGGGCTTAGGGGAAAAATCTGTCAAGCTGTTTTTCCAAAGAGCAACAGCAAAAGACCACATAACAGAACTCATTTCATGACAATTCCCTAGGTCTCTCTCTCTCTCTCTCTCTCTAGTCAAAATATTACAATTATTTGGTAGTTATGCACTTATTCTTGGGTCACCTTTTGTACCTGACTCCTTTAGTCCTACCAGGGCTTCAATTTGCCTGTAAGTCTAGAGGATCTTTATGAGAGACAGTGGGGGGTAAATCTTGAGAAGGATCAGTGTTCCTTTGGAGGAGATGCCACCATAGCTCTTTTGGCATTTACCATGCTTTAATATACTCTAGGTCATTCTTAGCTTTGTAACTTTCTCAAGGTGACTCTGTAGGAGAGACAAAAGCATTAAGAGCACAGTGCCTTTTACTGCATTATTTATAAGTGAGATAATTTGATGTGTGAGATTTACTTTAAAATACTCCAGCAAAAAATAAAGAAGAAGGAACAGATGAAATAAGATTGACAAAGAGCTGGTTTGTTGAAGCCATGAGATGAGCATAAAACAAAACAAAAAACCAAAAAAGACTAAACTCTCTGCGGTTGAGTCAGATCCAACTCATAGTGACTCCTCCTTGGGTTTCCAAGGTGGTATCACTATGAAAGTAGATTACCCAACCTTCCTTCTGAGGAGTGGCTGGTGGGTTTGAACCACCAGCCTTCTGGTTAGCAGTCAAAAGCCTTAGGCACTATGCCATATGGGTGTTTATAATACAACTTTTGTGTATGTCTGACATTTTCCATAGTAAAACAAAACCAAACCCAAGTCCTTGAAGATAGCCAGACTGGGTTCAAATGCTAGTTTCACCATTTATTAGTTGAGTGACTTTACCTCTCTATAGTTTCAGTTTCCAAAAATGAGAATAATATATGTCATTAAGTTTTTTGTAAAAATGAAATTAGAATTTGAGGCATCTAGCACCAGGTTGCTAACCAGAAGATCAGTCAGCTGCTCTGTGGGAGAAAGATGTGGCAATCTGCTTTCATAAAGATTTACGACCTTGGAAACCCAGTTCTACTCTGTCCAACACCCTATAGGGTGTTGTAGTGATTAAGGCATTTGGCTGCTAACCAAAAGTTGGTGGTTCAAGCCTACCAGCCCCTCTGGAAGAAAGATGAGGCAGATCTTTACGAAAGATCTGCTTTCGTAAAGATTTACAGCCTTGGAATACCAATGGGGGTTGCTATGAGTCAGAATCAACTGGATGGCAATGAGTGAGTTTTTGAGCACAAGGTCATTTTGTACTAATAAGAGTTTCTGCTTGCAAGCAACAGAAATTGATTCTACCAAAAAACAAAACAAAACAACCCAAACACACTGCTGTACAGTCATTCTTACTCATACACCCCATAGGACAGGATAGAACTTCCCCATATGGTTTCCAAGGCTGTAAATCTTTATGGAAACAGATTGCCACATCTTTCTCCCACAGAGTGGCTGGCTGATCTTTTGGTTAGCAGTTTGGTGGTTTGACCACTGCACCACCGGGATATAATTCTAGTTTTGCATAATTCCCCTGACATGCAGATAGTAACTGACAGAGGTAGGATTTGAACTCAGATTTTAGATTCTAGACCTAGACCTTTTTGTGTTATTACACTTGTCCCAAACCTTACCTTGGTTTGGTGCTTTGTATTTTACACTTTAAAATATATAGGAGCATATTTTGGGCATATATCTGGAACTTAGGACAGCCATGATTCCAGGGTACCTATGGGATGAGGAGAGGAGTTACAGGGCCGGGGGAAACTTACTGACATTAACTCCCAAGGCTATATGTCGGACGCTAAGTGGACGCTGTTACAATAAGGGGTTTACCCCAAATAGGCTCCGATAAACTATTGCTCGAACTCGGCCGTTTCATCTAGCCTTTCTCATCTCGGGGGCTGGATCAGGCTGTGGTCTCGCTCTCTTCTCCCCGCTGGCTTCGCGACGCCAGCCGCCTCCCTGTGGGTAGCAGCCCCCGCCGGCCAGGCCCTAGGCTCTGGACTCTGTTGGTTTGGCCAGTTCCCCTCCCAACCCTGTCTCGGCGCGGCAAGGGGCGGGAGCAGAGGCACCCTGGCTCGTGATTGGCCGAAGCCAAGGCGCACCCCTTCTTCGCCCCGTGCGGCGGGGTGAGAGGTCAGGCAGAAAGCAGGTAGGCAGTGGCGACAATGGCGGGAGTCGGGATAGGGGCTGTATCGTTGGTCGCGGCGGGACAGCGTGGTCTGCGGCCACCGCAGCTGCTGGTACGGAACGCGGCGCTGTGGACCCGGAAGGTGAGGAACTACTGGGCATTCTGGCAGGCCTGGGCTTCACTTTGCTTCCAGCCCTGCATCGCCTCTTGGTGACCATTGTGCCGGATGTATGCTGGCTCGTCCTCCGCTTCAGTTTCTCAGTACGTTCCCTTGCGAACCTCTGGCCCTCAGGTCCGGGGCTGCCCGAGACTCATGTCCCTCCTCGCCGGGCCCCAACAGCCATCACCCGGGTTCTGCGTTGGTCTGCGCCGCTCACGCTCATTCTCCTCGGAGTTCTTTGCAGTTTGATTCCTTTGGCTTATGGAAGCGGACAGCTGTGTGTTTTTGCATACTTGAGAGCTGCTGCAATGACCCGATGAGCTGCTGCAACCTGGCTGTAAATTGTTTTTTGTGTTCCAGTTTTTCTGCCTTGAGGTATTTACTGGCTTTATCTTAAGCTTTCCAGAGTGTGTGTTAAGTGTCTTTCTTTAAAGGGACATGTGAACTGTCGCTGGAGTAGAATTAGGGTTGTGAGTTTATCTTAATTTTTAAAATACTATGTGATGTCAGTATTCCTAATAAATTTTACGTTTGAGTTGAAAGCCTGTTTTAGTTATATTACATCACAGTATACTGCATATAAATACTTTCTCTAAATTTACTTTTCTTTTCTATGTGCTGTTTAGCCTGTTTCTTGTATTGGTTCTAAACACATTTTACCAATGTTTTTTATGCCCTAGAGTTTCATAGTAGCAGCCTTGACTTGAATGTTGGAGTGTTTGTGTTTGGCTTTTAATATTTTTTCTCTTCATCTTGGAGTCTTTTGTAATTTCTGAGAATATTGATGCAAATAGTTAACGATGCTAACCAAAAGGTTGGCAATTTGAACCCACTCAGAGGTACCTGAAAAATCAGCATTAAAAACTAAATGGAGTATACTTTTACTCTGATGCACATGAGGTCACCATGAATTGCAATCTACTCTTTGGCAACTGATTGTTACTTTATAATAAATAAGCTCTGATTTTTCTTGCCAGTATTTTCTTTTAATTGTGTTGGCAGAAATTGTGTCTTTTCCGTTTGTTCCTAGCACAGTGTTTGATGAAATAGGTGCTGAATGTGTTTTACTGTTTGAAGTCAAGTTATGTTTGTGCCAGCAGATAATTCTTCCTTGAGGTGAGAGCAATCTCTGAAGTTCACAATAGCTTTAGCTGCTTATTTGCTTGTCTTAGTATTTCCATTCTATGAACTTGAAATGTGCTCTACTGAGTCTAGGTTTGAAGCAGAGACTTTTGAAGATTTTTAACCTCTTTCCCCCTTTGCTCCTACCCTGTCAGCCTGTTATATGTTGGAAAGCACACAGCTAAATCTGGACTGTAGAGAATTCTAGATTTTCTTTTAGCCAATTAATGGATGTTGTTTAGTTTCAGGGTATGTGTAGGGTTCACTTTTCAGGCTTATTTCTTTTGTGTTTCAGCTTGGTCTTCATTTTTCAGTGGGTGTGGGATATTGGTTATATAATAATTGTTGTAATTTATTGAAGTCTTGTTTGTTTCATATGCTTTTCGTATATTATCTCTTATCCATATGACAACTAGGTAAATCCCAATTCTATTGAGGTGGAAACAAAGCTCAGAGCAGTTGAATAAATTGCTTATGGGCACAGTTGGCTCAGGTAGAATCTGAATCTTGGATAGTCTGGTTCCACAGCCTTGCTTTTCCAATTACAAATTATCTCAAATGAGTGATGATCCCATTGCTTGGTACATTCCCTAACTAAATGCTTACCTTTTGTTATTGTTGTTATTGGGTGTCCTGTACTGAATTCTGACTCATGGAGACCGCATGTGACATACATGTAGTGCTGCCCTATAGAGTTTTCTTGGCTGTAATCTTTACGGCAACACATTGCCAGGTCTTTTGGTGGACTGCTGGAAGGGCTCCATCTGCCAACCTTTGGTTAGCGTTTGAGTGCTTAACTATTTGTGCCAACTAGGTCTCCTTAAACCTTTTTTTTTTCTTTTAATTTCCTACTGTGATTTGGATGAAAGTTTCCTTGCATACCCTTTATGTTCTTTGAAATTTGTAAGTTTCTTTCAATATGGGTCAAGATGGAAGAAAGCATATTTGAATGCTTTAGAATTGCCTGGAGGTAAAGCTTTCCAACATGCTGATAAATTTCTGACAAAGCATTTGGGAAAAATATCTAAGATTATTGCAGAAACAAGTTGCAGTTTTTGGTGTAATATAAAAACAAAAGACCCAGTGCCATCGAGTCAATTCCAACAGTAAATCCTTATGGGAGTAGATTGCCCCACCTTCCTTCTGTGGAGTGGCTGGTGGGTTTGAACCACCAAGCTTCTGGTTAGCAGTCAAATGCCTTAGGCACTGTACCACCAGAGCTCCTCTTGTGTAATACAGTATTGGTAAAAATTTGTGTATTTTTTGCATCTACTTTTTGGGGTTTTTAAGAGTTCATAACAGACAAGTGATTGGTAAAAACTTCTACAACCTTTTTCTAAATAAGGGTGACATTTTGATGAAGAGAGTGAAGGTGTTGTTTCAGATGATTTATTTATTCAGTTTAAATCAGGCTAAGAAGAAGAACAGGAATGAAAAAATAAATTTGGGAAGGAAATGTGTTTTTTTGGTAGAAACAGTGGCTGTTTTTTAGGTCAGTGATAAAAGATAAAATTGGAGTTGCAGTATTATGTGAATTCAGAGTGATACAGTATGATGAGTTAATATTTAATTGAATAAATACTCAGTCTTGGAACCCTAAACTGGGATTTGGAAGAAGGAAGAAGAAATGATAGGATTTAGAGGAGTGACATGATGTTGTTGTTGTTGTTGTTATGTGCCGTCGAGTCG